TCCTCGCCCACCATGAGGGCGTAATGCTTTCTAAGTGGTCCTCCTTGCCCCGAAATACTTTGATGAGTATTTTCATCATCCTTTTGCCTTTTTTCTGAGCCTGCGACCTCTCTTCTGGTCAGTCTTCACCATGAAGATGAACTTGACTCTTGGAAGCTTTGAGTGTCTGGCAGTCCCAGAAAGGATGTGCCTTATCCAGACTGATGAATGTCCAGAAAGATAATTGCTCAACAGTGCCAGGCAGTGTGTTGTCCCCTTAGTAAGTGCAGTGTCTTATGCTTACAAATGGTCTGATGCCCACTGTATAGACGAGGAAGCTGAGGTTCAGCTTCAGTAACTTGCCCACGGTCACACAGCTCATGGGTTGCTGAGCAGAGGCTGGGATCCAGGATGTCTGACTGTTGCCTGAGCTCTTTTCCGCCTGGACACACGGCCTGTCTCCTGCTACTGCATTTTCCTGGGCATTGGAGGCCCTCCCCAAGTGGCTGGGATCTGCCTTTTTGGCCAGTAGCCGCCTGCAGAGCGCCTGTCTCCAGTCAGTGTTCTCACAGCAGAGCTGGACTAGATCAGGGTTTCCAAAGATGCCCCCTCCTCACCTTTCCCTGTGTTGCCTCTTCTACCTGGAGCACCTTCCCCTCCTGCACTCTACTTTCAGAAGTCATGCTTCCTCTGGCATTGCCTCGCAGGTGTTCCCTCCTCCAAGGAGCCCACCCTGGCTGCCCAAGGTGGGACTTGTTTCTCCCTTCGATGTTCCTCAGCTCTTCAGTGGACCCTTCACTGACCCTAGGGTGGAGGACATTTTCTACTGTGACTTGTCAAGACCAGCACTCGGAGGACAAAACTGGCATCAGTTCATTCTTCTGGACTCTTTTATGTCTGACACTGGACTTTGCCCAGCTGGCATCAGGTAAATGTTTGTTAGGTTGAATTGCTTAACATTTTCCTGCAGCCCTCCTGCAGGACAGGGGAGGTAGATCCTCTGGAGACTGGACTGCTGGCTTTCCTGGTTAATATCTAAACTTGGCTTCAAGGTAGACCTGCCGAGGGTTCAGAGCGTAGACCTGCCGAGGGTTCAGAGCATAGACCCGCCGAGGGTTCAGGGCATAGACCTCCTGAGGGTTCAGAGCGTACACCCGCCGAGGGTTCAGAGTGTAGACCTCCTGAGGGTTCAGAGTGTAGACCTGCCGAGGGTTCAGAGCGTAGACCTGTCGAGGGATCACAGTATAGACCTGCTGCGTGTTGAGGACAGAGCTGCTGTGGATTCTGAGCATAGACCCACTGAGGACGAGAATGAGTTTGAAGAAGCCTTGATCAGACAGAGTGGGATGAGTCCAGGGTTGGTCCCGACAAGGTCAGTTCAGGACTCAGGGCTGAAGGCGGCATCAAGCTTCTGCTCCTCAGCAGCAGGTCCCTCTCCACAGAGGAGGCAAGGGCCAGAGTTGTGGGGCCTGCAGGTGGGTAGAGTGGGGTCTTCAGGTGGGTGGTGTGGGGTCTTCAGGTGGGTGGTGTGGGGCCCGCAGGTGGGTGGAGTGGGGCCCGCAGGTGGGTGGTGTGGAGCTTCCCAGGTGGATGCTGAGGGCTCCTGTGCTGAGGGTGGTGGTCCCATTCTCTTCCGCCCTGCTGCCCCTGCGGCCAAAGTGCTTAGGATCCCCCTTTCTGTTTTAGGATTCGCTGTTCATCCTGGTGACAGGTGGGTGCTAGAGACTGGCCGCCTATATGAAATCACCATTGAAGTTTTTGACAAGTTCAGCAACAAGGCCTACCTGTCAGAGGTGAGTTCCTCCTCAGGTCCTGGCTGGGGGATGAGGTGGGGTCATTTCCTGACTCAGCTGCTGAAGAGTAGCCCCCAAAGCAGCAGGAGCCCCCATGCAGGTCAATCAAGGAGGAATCCTGTCTCTAGTGGCACTCCCATGCCAAGGCGTCCCGGGACATCTCCAGAGCCTGCAAGCCTGCACACCGGCCCCACAGCAGAGCCCCTGCAGGGCTGGAGGACAGAGGGTGCCACAGTGGCAAGGCGCTAGGAGAGGGGGATAGGGAGGAGGCCTTTGCCCGCCACCCACCCGCCTCCATCTCCCAAGCTGGAGGGGGCGACCTCAGAGACTGAGAATCCATTCTCCACCTGCCCTGCCGAGGGTCAGGGAGCACATCCTGGCTTTCTCCCTGCTGAGCCCCAGAAACACCTGGAACCCTGTGTGACAGAGGCTGAGCTCAGAATGCTTTGTGGTCTGGAAAGGGGTGTCAGACAGATGGGGAAATGTGCATGTGTGAAGGTAAATCTGAGTGCAAGTGAGTAGGTTTCTGAGTGTGTCAACTGTGGGTGTGAATGGTGTGTGTCTGGAGGCCCAGAATCAGACTGTCAAGCTAATCATTCACACTCCACACATCCAGCCCCTTTATACAAACTGGAAGACTGAGGCTGGGCAGGGGTGGTGGGGAAGGGGTCACATCCAGAGTTTGAAGGAGAGCCAGGTCCAGGCCCAGACAGGAGTGCCTGACCCCTGTCCTCCCTCCCATCCGTTGCTGCTGCACGTGTGTCTATGTCGAGAGCACGCTGCGTCCACCCTGCCTTGGTGCAGCTGGGAGCATGGCCGCCCCACATCCTGCACTTAGCTCACAGCCGGAGACTCAATGGACACACTAGATGGCAGGGGCTGTGAGCCAGGCAGGCAGAGTGCTCTGGGAGGAGCCCTAGGGAGGGGCCTAGGGAGGCCGGCCAGGGCAGGAGCCACCACGGGGCCACCATAGCAAGTCCCTAGTCATGAGGACTTGTGATCAGCAAAACAGCCAGTGGGGCTGAGCAATGAGCAGGGCAGATGCGGTCAGAGCCCTGTAGGGGCCAATGGCAAAGGCGCCGGAAGACTACGCTACATCAGGTGAGAAGCCATTGGAGACCTTTTGGCAGAAGCAAGACTCACCGCTCAGAATTCAGTGTTGGGGCTGTGCAGAGAGAAATGGAGGCCAGGGTGAAAGGATGGAGAGGTGGGAGCTGGGCCGCCGTAGGACTAGTTCTGGGGTAGACAGGTGGGAAGCCATAGGTTGGATTGAGAGAGTTGGGAAATCAGGAGCAGTCCCGCCTCTGGGCAGAATCACTGGCAAAGGTTTGGGAGGAGCGGGGTCTGTGTTGGCTACACCCAGACTCCAGGTGTGTGTGGCAGGAGGAACGGGATGCGGGGATCTACAAGGGAGAGAGGCCGCCCTCGGGCTGGAGAAAGGACCTGCGTCATCAGGGTACTGGTGGTGTTTGCAGCCCCAGGACTGAATGATCCTGAGAGAGGGAGGAGGGAGAAAGCCCAGCAGCCACAGAGCCCCTTCCAGGTTCTGTCCCTCAAAATCCACTGCTCACCGGCCACAGCCTCCTCCAGACTGGCCAGGCCCAGGGAAGGGGCAACTCAGGTGCTGGGCACGTGGTCTTGCCTGGTCTCTGCTAGGCCCTGGCCACTTCCAGAAGCTCCTTTTCTCAAATTTGGCCTTTTTTTTTTTTTTGGTCGAGGACCTGGGACCTTCCCCACCTATGGTTTCCTTGGTGGGTGATGCAGAAGGGGTGAGCAGGAGCGTGGGGGGTGAGAGGCACCCTGAAGGCTGCAAGACCTCAGCCCGAGTCCTGGTCTCCTCCTGGCTAACCCCCTCCCTAGGCCTCAGTTGCCTCCTCCATATCATGAGGGCAAGTGGAAGATCCCTCTTGGTCCCTGCCAGCTCCCAAAGTCTAGGATTAGTATTCCTGAGCCCTGGGCCACAGGCAGCCTCCCTCTTGGCAAAAGCCTCCCCTCCACTGACAGGCTAAGGAGCCAGCCCCGGCCCGTGTACCCGAGGCTGGCTTGGGATCTGAGCTCATCCTCCGTGTCCTCCTCAAGGGCCTGGACAGTACTGCCCTGACCACAGGGCTCCAGCCCTGTGCTGACTTCTTCTCCCCAGCAGTCCCAGCCTGGTTCTCGAGTGAAGGTGGCCGGGAGCCTGGCCACTTTCCTCAGCCTCCTGGACTGTGGCTCCACTTTACGTGAGTGGCTGTACTGGCTGTGGTGCCCAGGCCTCCTCTCCCGCATCTCCTCTCCTCAGATTTCATGAAGGAGGCCACACCTGGGTCCTGCCTTCCTCCCTGACCCTGTTCCTCTGTCTCCACTAGAGCATCCTCCCTTCCCCCAGCACAGATGACCCAGGAATGTCCCTGGCCCAGCCTGAATTTGCAGCCAGCTCCAGAGTGACACCTCCAGCAAACTCCTCTCCCCATGGTGGCTGCACAAAAGGCTGAGCAATGGTCCTGTCACCTTTGGCTTAGGCTCCTTCAGGAGCATCACTTCTGCTTGCCCTTTGACTTTCCAGAAGACCCAGGCTCGAGCCCCTTGTATTACTCCATTCTCACAAGGCTATACAGAAATACCTGAGACTGGGTGATTTATAAAGAAAAGAGGTTTAATTGGCTCACGGTTCCGCAGGCTGTACAGGAAGCATGGAGCATCTGCGTCTTGGGAGGCCTTTTACTCATGGCAGAAGGTAAGTGGAGCAGGTGTCCTACATGGCAGGGGCGGGACCAAGAGACTTGGGGGAGGTGCAACACACTTTCAAACAACCAGATCTCATGATAACTCACTATCATGAGGACAGCACCAAGGGGATGGTGCTAAACCATTAGAATCCACCCCCATGATCCGATCTTCTCCCACCAGGACCCACCTCCAGTACTGGGGATTAAAACTGAATCTGAAATGTGGGTGGGAACACAGATCCAAACCATATCAACCCCTCTGGGCCACAGCCGGGCTGCCTCCCCTCTACCTGGTTCTGCAGCCAGCTCTTCTGCGTTTCCTGCTCCCATCCCATCTCTGTGCACCACAGTCACTCCAGCTGTGGCCACCACATTCCTCTCCCTAGAGTCCCTTCTGCAAATCCTCAGAGAGCCCCTGCTCCTGGGCACCCTGATCAGTGGTGTGGCACGCACAGCTGGCTGCTCCTCTCATGTCCTCCATGCAGCCTAGCCTGGAAACAGCTGTGCGGTCTCTGCAGGCTCTGGGAGGTGTTTTCAGAAACCCACCTGGGTTCTCTGTTAGGAAATTCACATGGTCCATCCTCAAAGAGATGGAGGCCTCAGGCCCTCAAGGTTGTTCTGTGCCCTGGAGACAGTCCACTCATCTGGCCCTTCCTGGGAAAGGAGCCCATCTTCCTCTGCAGGGACCTGGGCTGCAATCTCCCTTCTCACTTTTCTTGGGGTACCCAGTGCTCTGGAGGCAAAGGCTGTTTCCTGACTCCATGACCCTGCCAGCCTTCCCCCAAAAAACCCATCCAGGCTCACTATTTCCTCCTCTAAGCCTTACTTCTTCCTCTCTAGGGCTTATTCCCTTGTCAGGGTAACAAAATGGGGTGTGTGTGTGAAAGGGGTGAGCTGGAAAAAAGGGGAGGCACTGCCAGCCCTCACCCAGAGAAGCCTGCTTGGGCCCAAGGCCACAAATGCACCCACCCACCTTGCTCTGTCAGGGCCCCTTGCTCTGTCAGGGCCTCTTGCTCTGTCCACCTGTAAATGTACCTGTTCCTCCATCTGGGAACCACAATTCACCAGCGTCCTGTCCCCACCCCCCTTACACTTCCATCGCTTTCCTATGCTGGACCTCAGGAGACTGTTTCCTGCCTGCAGTCCTGCCACTCCCCAGCCCCAACCCCACTCCTGTGCCCTACATCACCTACCCCCAAAGGGATCCCCTCTCATCCCCGAGCATCTCACCCTGGTCTCAGCTTCCCCAAGTGGAGACTGCACTGGCTTCAACAAAAACTGTCCTGTGTCTCCTATGCACCCCCAATACTAGAGTCAGCAGAGCTTGGGCCATCAGGCTTGCACAAGCCCCTCGGGGAGGGTAGAGCCCGGGACCACCCTCCAGGACCCGGTCTCCTTTGCTGTGTTCCCGCCAGCATTTCCCTGCTCACGGTAGACAGGGAGGGGTGCGCCCAGGAACTAAGAGCGAATCCCTTCCCCATCCTCTCACAGGAACTCCTTCGGGTGTCACAGCCTCACCCCCGCCCACCCTGTCCCACCCTGGAGCCCCCATTCGGCTTTGGGAGGACCTGCAGCAGCTACTTGTGCATCACAAAATGAGGCCCTGGGAACATCAGCAGCGACCGGGTGGGGGGAGCGGCGAGGCTGTGTCCCCGGAGACGCCCTGCCGTCGTCCTCCATTCTCCGGGTTGTGTCCAGGCCCCCAGAGGCACAACCAGACCCCATGGGTGCAGCTGGAGGGTGCCTCCCATCCGCCATCCCCTTTGGATGGGGCGGAAAACCCCCCAAGGAAGTCCTAGCGCAGTTCACGTTGCCCCAGCCGACCACGTGAGGGCGCGCCCTGTGTTAGTTTGGACAAATTAAAGCTCCTCTTGCGGGCAGGCCTGGATCCCCTCAGGCCGGGCCAGGGCTCGAGTGCCCGTGGCATTCTCTGGGCTGCCGGCCGCCAAGGTCCTGGCCGTGGGTCCTCCTCTGGGGCCCGCGCTATTGGCCTCCAAACGAGGTGCCCCCCTCCTCTCGCGCTCCCGCAGCCTAGGGTGCACCTCTCCGTTCGCCTTTGCTGAGCTCGTCCAGGACGCAAGCCGCCTCTCCACTGCGTTGGGAGCTCAGGCCCCGTCTGGGGCGCCCCGCTGCGGGCGCAGTGGCGCTGGAGAGGCGCGGTCCGAGCAGCTAGCGGCCAGAGAAGGGGCTCCAAGAAGCACAAGTTGGCGCTGGCCCCGGACCAGGCTGTTGTTGTTCTCAACGTGGTCCGCCATGAACCTATAAAAAGCCGAGGGAATCGCCCTCCTCACCAGAGCGCACCGCGCACGCTCAGCGAGCTCCAGAGGCGCCAGAGGAAGCAGCGGCGGCCGCGCGCGTTCGGCGGGATTCCTCTTCTCTCCAGCCCGGCCTAGGTCTGCGTCCCCAGCTCCAGCCGCCGGTTCGGACTCGGTCTCCGACCCCAACTCGGTCCCCTAACCCGGCCCCGGCTCCGGGCCCCCCACCCTCGCTCCGGCCCGGCCCGGCCCCTACCCCAGCCCTGCCGCCCGGCCCCAGGCCCGGCCGCGGCCGCTCCCGTCTGGAGCCGCCGCGCGCCCCCAGCCCCCCTGCACCCCCTCGGCCCCTCGCCTTCCTCTTCCCGGCGCGGCCTCCCGGCTTCCGCGCGCCGCCCGCCACCAACCCGCTTGCTACCATGTCTGTGGAGCTCGAGGAGGCCTTGCCGGTGACGACCGCCGAGGGGATGGCCAAGAAGGTGACCAAGGCTGGCGGCTCGGCGGCGCTCTCCCCATCTAAGAAAAGGAAGAACAGCAAGAAGAAGAACCAGCCGGGCAAGTACAGCCAGCTGGTGGTGGAGACCATTCGCAGGCTGGGCGAGCGCAACGGCTCGTCGCTGGCCAAGATCTACACCGAGGCCAAGAAGGTGCCCTGGTTTGACCAGCAGAACGGGCGCACTTACCTCAAGTACTCCATCAAGGCGCTGGTGCAGAACGACACGCTTCTGCAGGTGAAGGGCACTGGCGCCAACGGCTCATTCAAGCTCAACCGCAAGAAGCTGGAGGGCGGCGGAGAGCGGCGCGGAGCCCAGGCGGCCGCCACCGCCCCGGTGCCTGCCGCGCACAAAGCAAAGAAGGCGGCCCCGGGCGCGGCCGGCTCCCGGCGCAGCGCAGACAAGAAGCCCGCCAGGGGCCAGAAGCCGGAACAGCGCTCGCACAAGAAGGGCGCTACCACCAAGAAGGACAAAGGCGGCAAGGCTAAGAAGACGGCGGCCGCCGGGGGCAAGAAGGTGAAGAAGGCGGCCAAGCCCAGCGTCCCCAAAGTGCCCAAGGGCCGCAAGTGAGCGCGCCGGCCCGGTCCGCGTGGCCGGCGTGGGCTTTTTAGTGTTTTTGTTTTTCTACCCCAAGTGACGTAGATTTTGTAAGGCTTGCCCCGGCTGGGGCCGCGGGGCCTGTCTCAGCCGCAGGGAGGGGCCCCGAGTCCTCTTCGTCCCTCCCCTCCCCCAACGATGTAGCAGCGTTTTTCGTTGTTTGCTTTAGGTTTTTGAAACAGCCCTGGCGACGCCTCTATTGGCTCTCGGCCTTGGCAACGGCCGTCGTCATGGTTACCGGCCCCTAGGCGCCAATATCCGAGGCCGCGCCTGCCCACCCAGGCGGGGGCCGCTGGTTGGCCGGGCCCAGGCGCGCGGGTACGCGGCGGCCGCGCATCCCTTCCTGGCTTCCCAATCCTCTCTGCCTTTGGGTGCGCGACAAACAATCGCTCCGGGCTCAGGGCTGCGCGGCGCTTCCCTTCATTCCATGGGCCTTTTTTGGGCACAATAAAGCGTTTAAACCTTTCAACCTCTTGTTTAATGTGAGTGGAATATGGATGTGTGCCTCCCGCACGCAGGGTTGGATGGGGGGACCCCTCGGATCACAATACCCCAATCTGTTGATAGGGTTAAGCCTAGAGCCAGGGGCCTTAAGCAAGAGGGAAATTGCTGGCCTGTAACGAACTTAGGGTGACCTGGGGCAGGGAGGTAGACAAGTTCGGTCCCTTGGGAGGGATAGGCCTGTTTGCCCCCACACTGGTCCATCGGCCATTGGGGGGGGGCGCGGGAAGAGTGGGGACTAACAGGTTTTCATGGTTAATGGTCAGGGCCCTGCCGGGGAGCTCAGCTTGGCTTCCAACAAGGGAGTTATTACAAAGTCCCACCAAACTGGCCCTTTACAGAGCTTTGTTTTTCTGACTACAGTGAGAGGGTGAGATGTGACAGGGACAGGTATGGTGGCCAGAAACAATGGAGTTGCCAAGCATTCATCTCACGAGCACAACCCAAAGTGTCTCAGAAGGGTATTTGCCCTCTTTGAGCCTATTGGTTAATCTAGAGTACAGACGGAACCCAAAGGATTGCTGGAAAAATGAGGAGCAGAAGGATCCCCAGCACTGGGACACCCTGGTGTCCAGCATATGGAATAGTTGTCCGTCCAGTTGGGTAGTAGGCCAAGGTCTATTCTAACAAATGTCTCTAAGAATGGACAACTGCAAAACAGGCTTCTGGGGGCAGTGGAAAAATGGGGAAGGTTCTAAAACAGTGGGTACATAGTCTTCAGCGTGAGTGAGCCTGGGCTGGATTAAGTGAGAATGCAGGAGAGCTCGTTTTACCCCCTGTGTAAGATACTCCATAAACTACAGGTGGGGGCAGGGCCTCCTGGCAATAGACTGGAGGGGAGGGAGCATTGCTGGAGAGGAGCCACAGAGGTAGCCTGCTGCTACCCCTAATCTGGGCCTTGCAGACCTCTCTGCCACCTGGGTGAGTGGCCACTCCACTCCCTCTGCAAGTCTTCATAACCCCTTGGAGGCTCCCCGGCTGCCTCCTGCCTTACTGAACTGCAGAGCCAGGTACCAGTGGGATTTCTACCTGCCCTGTCCTGGGCCAAGCGCTGAGGACACAGCAGTGGACAAAACCAGCCCAGGTTCCTGCCCTGCCCAATCTTCCTGACTAGTGTGGAAACAGTGAATGATGAGGACAGAGGCACCATCATAAAAAAAACAGACGGCTGTGGCTGTTGGGGATCTGAGGGCCCATGAGCACCTGGGAGTCAGGTAGGCCTAGGCCGGTGCCTCCACCCCTGCTGCCAGCTCATGTCCAACTAGGAGTTGTCCAAATCTGAATCTCTGGAGCTGGGCCTGGGAATCAGCCTTCTGACCAGCTCCTCAGGTGGTTCTGGGGTTCAGAGAGGGCTGGGAAGGGCTGCAACAGGGACCATGGGCACCAAGGCCTCAGACATCTGTCCTCTGTGGACGCTGCTCCTTCCTGCCTGCCTGTTCAAGTGCTCCATGACCACTGAGTTTTATCCCTCCCTGAACCTCCCTCCCTAATCAAGGCCTCCACCTTGCTAACCATCTGTCCTTTGAGGACATCCCATTATGTCCAAGTGCCAGCCCAGGCCTGTCCCATGCTGCCCGCAGGGCCAGCCAATAGGCCACCAGCAGCTAGGGTCCAGGAGAGGCATTGGTACTCCCAGGATTCTAAAGAGATGACGCTGCTGGCCAGCTAAATCCAGTGCCCCAAATGGCCCTTCGGGCTGTCCTTATTCCTCATTGCCTTTCCATCTACTCTTTGTTCTTCATACCAACTGCTTCCACTAGTGGCTTCCTCTGGTGCTGCCTCCCACCCCTGCGTCCTGTCACCCGCTCTGCACTCCTTGACATGGGCCCCAGCTTGCTGTCTTCCCCACCCTGAGGCTTGCACCCTCCTCCAGGGGCACTTAAGACCAGCCCTCAGCGGGACGGGCCTTCTACTTTGCTGATATTGTCAGCTTCCCTTGGGGACTCAGCTTCCCTTGGGGACTCAAGTGGTCACATGACTCTGGCCAATAAGTGTTCAGTAAGTTGTTCACTTAGCCACAGTGATTAGGTCAGAAATGGGTTCTTGATCCAGTGGGTTCAATGCAAGTCAATCCTGGGACTTTTCCTGGAACTGCTGAGAAACAGGTGCTCTTTCACTGGGATCATTAAATGTTAGGGACATGGGTCCAGAGTTGCCAGTGACTATCTTTGTCAACATACAGGGAGAGCCCCCCTGAATAATCAGCCAAGACAGAGAAAGTTGGAGCCAGAAAATGGACAGATGCTTGATGACATTAATGGAGCTTCTGGATCGAGCCATGCCTGAAGCTTGAAGAGTCGTGACTATTCTGGAGCCTATACATTGCTTTTTGCATACATTAGTTTGAGTGGGGTTTCTGTAGCTTGCGTCCTGGTCTCTCACTCCTTTGGCTCACCTTACCCTCCCCACATGCCCATCCTAGACCTTGTCATCCTTTCAGATTGCTCTTTCTCTGAACCACCCTTCTAGAGTCCCATTCTTTGCCCAAAGGGCCCTCCGCTCCCTTTTTCCCAGCTTGGTCCCTTGGCTCCTTCAGCTGGGTGGTTTTCTGACTTTATGGAACCTCTGTGAGTAAGTCCCACATCCCTGATAGGTGCCGTAAGTTGAAGCCATATGACCACAACCAACCACACCTGAGTACTCACTGTCTGGTGCTTTGAGGACTCACAGGCCTGATCTCAACCTCAAAACAACCCCAATCTTGAAAAAGGGTGTTCAAGAGCCAGTTTTACTGATGCAGTTGCTGAGACTCTGGGAGGCCACACAGCCAGCAAGTAGCCAGGTCAGGATTCAGACCTGCTCTGTGAAGCTCCAAAGCCTGTATTTTTCTGCCTTGATGCTCAGCTCCTACAGGGGCCTGGGGAGTTCAGGATCCACCATTTACTTACTGTGTCTCCTGGACTTGGCTTCAAGGAGCCTCACTTCCAGTTGAACATTGAAGGTACTTGACACTGTGAGGCTAAGGAGGGCTTTCTAGAGGAGGTAACCCCGGCAGCGCAAGGAGGCAAAGAACTTGTGTGTAAGACAGCCCGGGCTTGAGCTCTCCTTTTCAGGCTAGCGTGGATTAGTATTAAATATCAGGAGCGGGCAGGTGGGAGCAGGCCTGTGCTAGATGCTACCATAGTGGGCCTATCTCCACTATGATCTTTGGGACCGAGGCAAGATTGTTCTCCCTAAGTCTCAGTTTCCTCATATGTAAATGGTGCTAAGAAAGACTTAAAAATCACTCATCTGCTAACTAGGCAGAGTCTGATCACACTGCCTCTGGCCAGGATCTCCAGCCTCTGCACCCCCAATCCCTTGTATCCCCCTGTGGTTAGCACCCTACCTATCACCAGGGCTACTCTGCTTGTGATGTTGCCTCCTCCCTCTGAGCCTCCTCAACATCTCATGTATGCCTTCTGGGTCCCCCAGTCTGCCTTCTCCCTGGCCCCAGGACACCTCTGCAGACTGCAAAGGCGCCATCCCAGGGTGTGTAGCCTTAGTGACTGGTAGAAGGGGATCTCCAGTCAATGTCCCTAGACCAACCTGACCTAAAGCTGTCTCTCTGCCAGGGCAGGGTTTGGAGCTGAGCACAGGGCCTGTTGGGGAGGGTCTGAGCTCCTAGCACAAGGGGTGCTACCATCTCACTGTCCCAGTCATCAGATCTTGGGTGATGTAGCCCAGGGCATATTAGCTCTTCCAACAGCTCCACCAGTTATGGGGAGGGAAAGAGGTCCTGGTTCTTCCCATAGCAACTGCTGTTAGGGCTACTTACACTTGCAAGCTGGGGGTGGTGATACTTGCAGAGGTATAGGAGAACAAAACATCTCATATGCCAAAGGCTTAGTCCACAATCATTCATTCAACACCTACTGGCTGGGTCCCCTTCTCTTGGACTGTGCCAGGCTAGGGGTGAATGGGAGCAGAGGCAGTGATGGGACTCAGCCACTTGCAGAAGGACAGATAAACCAGCAGGTTCCTGGTAGGGACATTCCAGACTGGAAACCCCACAGTAGCACAGGCCGCTGGTTTTGGGGAATGGCGAAAGGTGTAAAAGCAGCGAGGGAGATGTGACAAGGCATGAAGCCAGAGAAGTCAGCAGGGCTTCAGGTTCCCACGTCAACTCAATGAAGAAGGAAAACCAGGGAACTGGTTTGCACAACTGTAGGGGCTGATTAAGCAGTTTCTTTAAGGCTGTATCTCCAGGACTGATGGGGCTTGAAGTCCACAGGCAGGTGGTTAGGAGAGAAAGATCATGAGCACATGAGCATACTGAAACCCGACTACCACAGAGGGGACCCATGAGGACAGACTGAAACCTGTGTCTATTCTTGTTGCCTCTGACCTCACTGATGAAGATAGAAGCTGGGACCCTTAGTCACAGAGCTAAACATGCATACACCTGGCCCAGGAGTCAGGAAAATTGAAGGAGAGTCCAGGGAAAGTATAGCAATTGCAGGTCCAGGTGCTGCTTCATGCCAATCAGGTGAGTCAGCAGATCAGCAATCCAAATGGTTGCTTCCTTCCAAATCTGGTGAGAATCTGCCTCCTGGCCCACTCTAATGGAAAACATACCAGTCAGGGAGTTCCAGAAAATATGGTTCAGCTGGGCCAAGTTGGCATGTTACAAAGCCCTCCCAATTCCACAATTAAAAATGGGTGTGGTGGGTGGTGAGGGCTCCAGACCAGGTAGAGCATTCTAGCCAACTGGAAGATACAGACTCCACCTGAAGAGGGGCAGTGACTACCCGGGTCTTACCGACTCTTTTTCAGAGCTTCCCAGTTTTCCAAATAATGTTGGAAGAAGCACCTCCTAAAAATTTGCAAGGAGGTTGGGAGTGGTCTGGCCATCCAGGGAGGTTTGGGGAGGTTACCTCAGTGTACCAGTGGTCCTACATGGGGCCTGGTTGTCCGAGGCACCTCCCCCAAATTTTTCAAAGTGGAAACAATTTTCTGAAATTTCCCATTCTTTTAAAATATGGGCTT